GTCTTTTAGTTTTATTTGATGAAGGTTGATTGTGCTGATTTCTCAAGGTTTGTTAATGTCTATCAAAGTTCCTTGAAATGAAAATATTCCTTTAAACAAAGCACGTATATAAAACCCCAAAATATTCATGTTTATAATTATCAATTAACTAGAACGAAATATTTCCATAACATATTTATTCATTTAGCGTGTCATGGTGACATTACCTAATGCATTGGGGATCAGAAAAAGTAGTAGCTATAGTGAAAATATTGTAAATTTTGTATATATCTGGAAGTCTGGTTTAATCTCATAGAACTATGTCTTTATAGACATAATTACTGGAAGGAAAGTCTAACCATGATACTTCAAGGAAGATAGGCATGTAAATACATTTAATATAATTACTTACACTTTTATCTATCTGAAATGCAGTGTATACCTTATCTACTTTCCTCAACTACAAATATAACTATAATAAGTAAGGACTATAACTTTGCAATTCATTCAAAATAAAGAAGTAGGTATAAAGTCCTTTCGATTTGTCTAAATGCTCATAATGATAGGATAGTAATTGCAACATCTTGGGTATTTCAAAGGTTTTATTTAGTCAACTTCATCATAGAGCTATTTATCATTTGGCTTGTTGGCGATAAATATACGGTTGTGTGTATTTTGTTATTTTTTTTTACCTATTTTGATTTATTCACATTATTATCGTCAAATTTGAAATAAGAATTAAAGAAAATATAAAATCGCTTAAAGTTAAGACAAATAGCCTCTGGTTCTCTTATTTTAGTAATTTTTGCATTCCAAAGTGTAGGAGTATGGGGAAAGTAATATAGCGTAGCGGTTATTTGTGAACATTTTTCAATACGTTTAGCCTCTCAGTACTTTCAGTACTTTGATTTCTTTTCTGCGATCACATAACTTACACAGCGTACCGATATTTCAACAAAACATTTTGATACTTGAATCACCACCTTTCATCCAACAACTTAAGATGGTGTTTTGTCCTTTATAAAGGACCTTCGGCGTTCATCGGCCGAAAGGATTATCGAGACACCTAAATTTACACCACCGCTCTCGATTTTAGTTTCTAACTTTGAATTTATTTTATGTCGTATGTATGTGATGTAATTTATGTAATATATGCGTCTTGATAAATGGGCAGGTTGCCTCGAAAAAATTGACAATTCACTTCTCCATACTGTCGTTATTACTTCATTGATCATATGTCTATTTCAGTAATACACATCCAGCGAACATTTGTTTGTTAGGATCCGGTAGCAATATTGGACCATACCAATGATATTATTACTAGATATCGCATAAGCTGTTTGCTCATAAACCCTTAATATTGCAAAAGTGAATCATATTTTCAACGTCTGACTTTACCATTACTTATCGATCTACATACATGGCACAATGGGTTAGAAACATAGCGAGATAGGGCTTATCTACTGTTCACTGTTCAAATGTTTTACCGTTAATAATATTCCAAGAGGCGCCCTCTTTCGGCCATTCCGGTCTTTACAACTATCAGTTTAAGAAGAAGTGAGTTAGGTAAAGTTAGGTAAAATATTTGTGTCAGCTTCAGCATTGTTGGAGTAGATTACAATCAGTAAGGTAGGTTGACTTTCTCATTGGAACATTGAACCAATATTACTGGTGAACGACGTTTCTCGATGTGTTTATCGGACATAGTACTGGGACATGTGGGCTTGTCCTATAATCTATTCTTCATTGGGCTTTCCGATTTGATCTGCCCTTAGTTTTGATTTTTGCCTTCTTTTTATTGAATTTGAGTTTGAATTAAGATTCTGGTGATATATCGGTATTTTTTTTATTATATTATTTTTAAGTAATTGCTGCTAAAAACGTATATATATGTAGATAAAAATATCACCTTTATCAATATACACAATAGTATCACGTATTGATATTAGACATGACATCTATAAAACAACAAGAAAATGTCAACATGCCAACATAATCGTAATCAAATCTTACATTTAATAAAACTAGAGGAATACATGAACAAAAGAAAGATTTAAACGAAGACTCCTGAAAAAGTACCAGGAGAATAAGACCAGGTGTTCCGGAAGAGTAAGAGTCTCCTGCTTTATCGACGACACCCGTCATTTAAACCTTGGTCAATTCAAGTAAGTAATGTCACTTTCTCAAATGATGACAAAGTATACAACAACGGAACACACATGCATACTAAGGAGCATCAAACACATTTTCCTATCACCCAAAGAAATAGAATATTGTTTTACTAAGGTCACTATGACGACCGTAAAACTGTATCATATTGTTATCAAATTTATGAATATTTTAGATGCATATCATATAAACATTCACACACGTATAATAATTTCAGAAGAAATATTTGAAATTTGCCATCAAACTATGAATAGATCAGTGTGATAATAACGAAATCTGGTAGCGTACTTTGACATCAATCCAGAGTGTCTGAAATTATTCAAACCGAAACAAAAAGTTTGTTTCATAAATTTAACGAAACTTCTCAGTCAGGCGATTAAACTAGATAACAAGATGAGATATGAACATTGGCTTACGTGCACAGTCCTTATTATCAGTGACACATTTTACTTCTACAGTCCTTCCTCTGTTTCTAAGCGGTAGATAAAAAACGAGAAATTACTGCCAAGTCATTCGTTAGAATCGAGCAAACAATCACATGCTGTTGCCCTAGTTTTCTTGAATTTGTGTTCGGAATGATTATGTTGGGTTTTTTTTAAAAGATATTACTGATAACTTGAACTAAATATATACTAGAGCAAAGTAAGTATATGTAATGATTCCAAAGTGTTAGAAAAGTGAGGAGACTTGTTTATATCGACGACTCACGATTTGATAATTATATCAAACAAAAGATATAATTAAATGAGCTAAAATAAAAGCAATATGATAAACGACCATTAAGCGGACCAGATATTTTCTATGTGTTTCATATATAAACTTCGTGTAACATGTATTCGTCAATAGCCCTTCAAAGTTGAATCAACTTCCATGCTATCGTCGCACTGAAGGAAAGCAGTGCGACTTCTGTGTAGGAATGGGTTATAAGTAAAATCATCATGATTATCATGTATATCACATATACAATGTAACATGCACCTGTTTGTTACGTGTTCTGCTGGAACAAGTACAGGACTGTCTTAAGCGTGTCTACAAGTGTAATCACTCATTGCTGAATGTTGAACATGCCATCAAACAGTTTGGATAGAGTGTGTAACGTTATCTCTCAGCAGTTCTAAGGATATAAGATATCATAAGTTCATCACTTTCATAGTTTTCCAGTTTCTAGCTCTACAGTTGTCATTTTTCTCGAAATCTTCAATTTATGTCAAACACTTTTGCCCTGTGTTGAATTGCGCATGACCCCATGTCTCTGCAGCTTCCAAATACTGTCTGTAATGTATGAAATGTAACTAAATGTCCATATTTGGTTTGTTTCAGTAAGTATGAATAACTTGTACAGCTTTGTTTTAGGAGTAAGAAAGTCTTGAGTAAAGTTTGTGGGGCATCGTTGTACGAGAGTACTTTTATCTATTTGACCTTATATTTGGGGACCTGATACAAGTGGTCTGATTGTTGATATTAAATTCTATGCCAAGCATTGATACAATAAAGGTACAATGTAAGCTTACTATAATACATACTAAATTTTCATTACGAAAATTAACTTTTTACATTGTAACGGACAAGGAGAAAATAAGACAGACTGGCTTACAGTTGAGTACACATAAGAGTATAAAAGTATAATAGAATGACTATTATTTTTTAAAAGTTCCGGACAATACCATTTTTCAGGAGGTCATTGGCTGAAGATGCATGATAATTATAAAACACACATTAGGTTTGAAATGTTGAGCGTAATGATAAACTTGATTGTAATTATTTGCCTAGAAAACAATTTGTTTTGTAATGGAACATGTATGTGAGATAAACAATGTATAACAATATGATACAGAATTGTTTATCTCACAACGAAGGCGTTAGTGTTATTATCTATTAATGATCCATTAGTGACGAAGTTATTATTCTTCAATATTCCGACTGAAATCGAGATATAATTTCCGAAAGCATTATATACTACACACAATTTGATAGGGATCACACCTAATAATTAGCAAAATTTTCTTTTAAAATAAAATAATATGTATTCCTTTTATTTGTTGGTTTGTATCTGTACCGAGGTCTATGTGTATCGGGTGTTTATGTGGTCAGTCACCCGTAACGCCTACACTTCACGTGTACATGCACGGGCCTCCTACGTGCAGATTGTCAGCAATACGTTTGTGGCGGAATATCTCGCTTTTTACTTTACATTTTGAATTTTAATGGTTTCAAAATGCCCCGACAGCAGGCTAGAAGACGTCTAAGCACTTCAGATATGGACAGGGGCATTGGTCTGGTAGGTCACAAAGGGAGGTGGCCAACGACCTTGGTGTGTCCCAGATTGTTTTGTTGTTGTTGTGTTGTGTCCCGTATGTGGAATCGTTACCAAAATTATGGAACTGTCTCCAGAAGACATGGTGGGGGGTCGTGAACTACTTACCTCGCAGCGTCAAGACCGCTATCTTGTTATTGCAGCTCGACGTCAAAGGTTCATCAACGCTACGTCACTACGTAATGACGTACTTTTTACAGACGAGTCTAGATTTTGCTTAGATTTCATTGACCGACGTGCCAGGGTGTGGCGACTACCAAATGAGAGGTTCCATGCCGCTAACGTTTCCCAACATGACCGATATGGTGGTGGATCTGTTATGGTTTGGGATGGCATTAGCATGCAAGGCAAGACCGACCTTCATGTGTTCCTTAATGGCAGTTTGACTGCACAGAGGTACTGTGACGAAGTCCTAGACATGTACGTTAGGCCTTATGCTGGTGCTATAGGTCCGGAATTCATTCTTATGGACGATAATGCGTGACCACACAGAACTCGTGTGACTGAACAGTATCTGGAAAGGGAAACAATTGAGAGGATGGACTGGCCAGCCCGATATCCAGATCTCAATCCTATTGAACACGTGTGGGACAGGCTTCAGAACGCTGTTTCGCCGAGAAACATCCAACCTAGAACGCTTCAGGAACTTCAAGCAGCTCTCGTCGCTGAATGGACAAGTATTCCCTTAAACCGGATACGAGACTTGATCAGAAGCATGCGCCGCCGCTGCCAGAGCGTAATTGATGCTCGAGGACGTTATACTCGATACTAACACTGTATTTTTCGCTGAACGACACTGTTTCGTAGGACTTAATTTTTCGCCCCTTTCGTCGTAATTTGCGATTTTTGGGGTATCTGTGTACAATGAGCATTGAAGCAAATCAATACTGTTATTCTTAGCTTGGTGTTGTTAAATCTTCATCTTATAATGCCGAAATATGCATAAATTGAACTGTAGACTATATTCTTAAAATAGATACCGTTACACATTAAATAAAAAAGTGATCCGTATCAAATTGTGAGTAGTGTATATTATAGTATGTTTATTACTATGGCTGTTTCATACATCACCAAAATCTTTTTGGTGAAAAGAATTGTTTTTCTTCATATTAATGTAAAGCGTTTAAGGAGATACTTATACGTGTATATTGCAATAAAGTGACAGCAGTGTGATAAGGTTTCAAAGAAATTATATGGAACTGTTTTGTTAAGTAGGAACAGACTGATGTGTGATTACTTTTTACACTTAAGTGAACATATTCAAAGCTTTCATTATATTAAAATTTAAATATGCCATACAACTTACGTTACACATTGTGCGCGTTTTCTTTCTTTTTTATCTTAAGGCGCAAAGGGAAGTAACCTGAACATAGACATGGTCATATCAATCCAGCTGATCCTGATCTTAATCTGTTTGGGGGCAAGTATTCAACCACGGCATTATATCACAATGTATTCAACAACGGCAATATATCACAGCATATTCAACAACGGCAATATATCAATGCATTCAACCTTGACAATGTATCACAATGCATTCAACTTTGACAATGTATCACAATGTATCTAACCATGACAATGTATCACAAAGTATTCAACCATGAAAATGTATCACAAAGTATTCAACCATGACAATATACCACAAAGTATTCAACCATGACAATATATCACAAAGTATCCAACCATGACAATGTACCACAAAGTATCCAACCATGAAAATGTATCACAAAGTAACAAACCATGAAAATGTATCACAAAGTATCCAACCATGAAAATGTATCACAAAGCATTCAACCATGACAATATATCACAAAGTAACAAAACATGACAATGTATCACAAAGTATCCAACCATGAAAATGTACCACAAATTATTCAACCATGAAAATGTATCACAAAGTATCCAACCATGAAAATGTATCACAAAGTATCCAACCATGAAAATGTATCACAAAGTATCCAACCACGACAATGTATCACAAAGTATCCAACCATGACAATGTATCACAAAGTATCCAACCATGACGATGTATCACAAAGTAACAAACTATGACAATGTATCACAAAGTATCCAACCATGACAATATATTACAAAGTATCCAACCATGAAAATGTATAACAAAGTATTCAACCATGAAAATGTATCACAAAGTAACAAACTATGACAATGTATCACAAAGTATCCAACCATGACAATATATTACAAAGTATCCAACCATGAAAATGTATCACAAAGTATTCAACCATGACAGGTGGCTGATAACAATGTTATTCCGTCAGACTGATGATAATAGTGTTATTCCTTCAGGTGGCTGATATCAATGTTATTATGTTATTATGTTATTCATTCCGTCAGGTGGCTGATAACAATGTTATTCTGATATCAATGTTATTCCGTGGCATATCAATGTTATTCCGCTGATGTTATTCCTTCAGGAGGCTGATATCAATGTTATTCCGTCAGGTGGCTGATGGCTGATACTGATAATAATGTTATTCCGTCAGGTGGCTGATATCAATGTTATTATGTCAGATGACTGATGATATCAATGTTATTCCGTCAGGTGGCTGATAACAATGTTATTCCGTCAGGAGGCTGATAACAATGTTATTCCGTCAGACTGATGATAATAGTGTTATTCCTTCAGGTGGCTGATATCAATGTTATTATGTCAGATGACTGATATCAATGTTATTCCGTCAAGAGGCTGATATCAATGTTATTCCGTCAGGTGGCTGATAACAATGTTATTCCGTCAGACTGATGATAATAGTGTTATTCCTTCAGGTGGCTGATATCAATGTTATTATGTCAGATGACTGATATCAATGTTATTCCGTCAAGAGGCTGATAAAAATGTTATTCCGAGGAGGCTGATATCAATGGTATTCCGTCATGACTGATGATAATAGTGTTATTCCGTCAGATGACTGGTTATCAATGTTATTCCGTCAGATAACTGATAACAATGTTATTCCGTCAGGAGGCTGATAACAATGTTATTCCGTCAGCAGGCTGATAACAATGTTATTCCGTCAGACTGATGATAATAGTGTTATTCCGTCAGGTGGCTGATATCAATGTTATTCCGTCAGGTGGCTGATAACAATGTTATTCCGTCAGGAGGCTGATATCAATGTTATTCCGTCAGGTGGCTGATAACAATGTTATTCCGTCAGACTGATGATAATAGTGTTATTCCGTCAGGGGGCTGATATCAATGTTATTCCGTCAGGAGGCTGATATCAATGTTATTCCGTCAGGTGGCTGATATCAATGTTATTCCGACGTGAGATTCCGATATCAATGTTATTCCGTCAGATATCAATGTTATTCCGTCAGGTGGCTGATAACAATGTTATTCCGTCAGGAGGCTGATATCAATGTTATTCCGTCAGGTGGCTGATAACAATGTTATTCCGTCAGGAGGCTGATATCAATGTTATTCCGTCAGGAGGCTGATATCAATGTTATTCCGTCAGGTGGCTGATAACAATGTTATTCCGTCAGACTGATGATAATAGTGTTATTCCGTCAGGTGGCTGATAACAATGTTATTCCGTCAGGTGGCTGATATCAATGTTATTCCGTGAGGAGGCTGATATCAATGTTATTCCGTCAGGTGGCTGATAACAATGTTATTCCGTCAGGTGGCTGATATCCATGTTATTCCGTGAGGAGGCTGATATCAATGTTATTCCGTGAGGAAGTTGATATCAATGTTATTCCGTCAGGAGGTTGATAACAATGTTATTCCGTCAGATGGCTGATATCAATGTTATTATGTCAGATGACTGATATCAATGTTATTCCGTCAGGTGGCTGATATCAATGTTATTCCGTCAGGAGGCTGATATCAATGTTATTCCGTCAGGTGGCTGATATCAATGTTATTCCGTCAGGTGGCTGATATCAATGTTATTCCGTCAGGTGGCTGATATCAATGTTATTCCGTCAGGTGGCTGATATCAATGTTATTCCGTCAGGAGGCTGATATCAATGTTATTCCGTCAGGTGGCTGATATCAATGTTATTCCGTCAGGACGCTGATGATGATGATAATAGTGTTATTCCTTCAGGTGGCTGATAACAATGTTATTCCGTCAGGAGGCTGATATCAATGTTATTCCGTCAGGTGGCTGATATCAATATTATTCCGTCAAGAGGCTGATATCAATGTTACTCCATCAGACGGATGATAAAAGTGTTATTCCGTCAGGTGGCTGATAACAATGTTATTCCGTCAGACTGATGATAATAGTGTTATTTTGTTAGATGAGTGATAAAAATGTATTCCGTCAGGAGGCTAATAACAATGTTATTCCGTCAGGTGGCTGATAACAATGTTATTCCGTCAGGTGGCTGATATCAATGTTATTCCGTCAGGTGGCTGATAACAATGTTATTCCGTCAGGTGATAACTGATAGACTGATGATATAGTGTTATTCCGTCAGGAGGCTGATAACAATGTTATTCCGTCAGTCGGATGATAATATAACAATGTTATTCCGTCAGAGTCTGATATCAATGTTATTCCGTCAGGTGGCTGATAACAATGTTATTCCGTCAGACTGATGATAATAGTGTTATTACGTCAGGTGGCTGATAACAATGTTATTCCGTCAGGAATAACAATGTTATTCCGTCAGGGTGTTATTCCGTCAGATGAGTGATAACAATGTTATTCCGTCAGGAGGCTGATATCAATGTTATTCCGTCAGGTGGCTGATAACAATGTTATTCCGTCAGGAGGCTGATATCAATGTTATTCCGTCAGGTGGCTGATAACAATGTTATTCCGTCAGACTGATGATAATAGTGTTATTCCGTCAGATGAGTGATACAAATGTTATTCCGTCAGGAGGCTGTTAACAATGTTATTCCGTGAGGAGGCTGATATCAATGTTATTCCGTCAGGAGGCTGATAACAATGTTATTCCGTGAGGAGGCTGATAACAATGTTATTCCGTGAGGAGGCTGATATCAATGTTATTCCGTCTGGAGGCTGATATCAATGTTGTTCCGTCAGGTGGCTGATAACAATGTTATTCAGTCAGACTGCTGATAATAGTGTTATTCCGTCAGGTGGCTGATATCAATGTTATTCCGTCAGGAGGCTGATAACAATGTTATTCAGTCAGATTGATGATAATAGTGTTATTCCGTCAGGTGACTGATAACAATGTTATTCCATCAGGAGGCTGATATCAATGTTATTCCGTGAGGAGGCTGATATCAATGTTATTCCGTCAGGTGGTTGATAACAATGTTATTCCGTCAGGTGACTGATAACAATGTTATTCCTTTAAGAGTCTGATATCAATGTTATTCCGTCAGGTGGCTGATAACAATGTTATTCCGTCAGGAGGCTGATATCAATGTTATTCCGTCAGGAGGCTGATATCAATGTTATTCCGTCAGGAGGCTGAAATCAATGTTATTCCGTCAGGTGGTTGATAACAATGTTATTCCGTCAGGTGACTGACAACAATGTTATTATGTCGGATGACTGATAACAATGTTATTCCGTCAAGAGTCTGATATCAATGTTATTCCGTCAGGTGGCTGATAACAATGTTATTCCGTCAGACTGATGATAATAGTGTTATTCCGTCAGATGAGTGATAAAAATGTTATTCCGTCAGGAGGCTGATAACAATGTTATTCCGTGAGGAGGCTGATATCAATGTTATTCCGTCAAGAGGCTGATAACAATGTTATTCCGTGAGGAGGCT